TTTGTCATTATTTCCGGCACATTGTACTTGCATGTGATATTGATGACAGTGCTAGATAAGTTCCTCACTCTGTTGGAGTACCTGTATTTGAAAGGGGTGCAAATACGGATCTCTTCCAGTAAGTTGGTCAGGGGGCTGTCTTCCAAGTTTCTTGGCACAGATGCATGAGGGCTTCCGGAGCTTTGTTTTTGGCTCATGCCTTCAGTGCAAACAAGCAAACAAACAAACTCACTGCCATTTAGTTGATGCCAGCACATAGCAACCCTACAGGACAGGGTGCAACTGCCCCTGTAAGTTTCCAGACTATAATTATTTACTGGACTAGAAAGGTTCTTCTTTCTTCCTCAGAGCGGCTGGGCGTTTGAAATTTCCAAGCTTGCAGATTGCAGCCCGACTCATACCCACTGTGCCACCAGGGCTCCAGGCCTTGAGTGCAGCTTGAACTTTTTCCTTCACTGTCATTAGTTCTTGCTCATATGCTACCTCTTGTAATGACTGTATGTTAACCAGTTCTTTTTGGTAAGTAACTCTGTGTATTGCGTCTGTCTTCATTTGATGCTTCCTGCACCACTCAACATTTTGCCCATAGGATCCTCCAATACTTCAACTGGAGGCTTGATTTTTTTTTCTTCAGCTCTTTCAGCTCGACATATGCCGAGTGTGATTTTTCCCTTGTGGTTTTCATTATGAGAATGTTTTCTTGAGATGTGCTTTGAAATTTTTTGTTCAACTCTCTTATGCCATCATTTCTTCCAGTGAATCTGCCTTTAAGAGCAAGTTTCAGAGTCTCTTCTAGCATCCATTTGGATCTTTCCTTTCTTTCTTGTCTTTTTAATGACCTGTTGCTCTCCTCATCTGTGGTGTGCTTGATGTCTTCCCACAGCTCATCCAGGCTTCTGTCAATAGTGTCCAATGTGTTCTTAAAGTATTCTCAAAATTCAGGTTGGATATATTCTAGGTCATATTTTGCCTCTCATAGATTTGTTTTAATTTTCTCCAACTTCAACTTGAACTTGCATATGAGCAGAAAACCCCATCTTTCCTCATTGGAGCAGCTGGTGGTTTCAAAATGCTCACCTTGCAGTGAGCAGCACAACACATAACCACTACACCACCAGGGCATATTAATATATATTTTATTCTGCACATATAATTTAAATTTGCTTACCTAGTGAGATATAGCACAAATATAGCAAGTAGTTGACTTGAAAGAACAGAAATTAATTTTCCCACAGTTCTGGAGACAGTAAATTCAAATCCGGGTCTCAAGCCATTTCAATTCCCTCTTGGTTTTCTGCTCCCCCCAATAGTTACAATCGCAGAAACTCACAGAGGCAATTCTACTCTGTCCTGTGCCATCACTATGAGTTTCCATCAATTCAATGGCAGTGATTTTTAATTGAAACAACAGAACAGAACGCATAAGCAACCAATACGAGGTAAATGACAGAAATCATCATTTTTCTGGTTTACCAGCAGAAAAAGTGATACAACTTGCAGATACTGGTGCCTGGGGAGAACAGTATTCACCACTGAGGATACAAGAAGACTGATGCCTCTCCTTCTGACATAGTAAATAGGGTAAAGAAGAGAGTGGGGTTGGAGAATTCAAGGGCACCAAAGAAGGGTAAGGTTCTCGTGGGTATAGAAAGAAATTCAGGAAAAAAAAATAGACCACAAAAGCCAAAGCCAATCTCTGCCAGCTTCTGACTTGTGGGTCTAGTTGTCCATACCCATCTTTACTCCTTGGTTGAGTTACAGGCGCTATCCGAGGAGACCACAGTCCTCAGTTGCTCCGTGTATGCATAGTTGAGATAGTTCTTGTCTTTGGACAATGAAACTTATGTAAACCAACATGCTTGCAAATAACACAGAAGGCTCTCTAAAAGTAGTGCCACATTATTAAAAAAGAGTTCAATTCCCAGGGACTCATTCATCAATCTGAACTTTCTGACATAATCTGTATTATCAGATGTGAATATTACATAGAGTAATACTTTTGCCTTTTATTTGAGTTATGAAAACTACAAGATATTACATTGTCTCATCCTTGGGTCTAATGGCCCCATTCTAAGTCATACACACTAGGAAATCATAAACTATAAGCAGAAGGCTAAATGTACAAGATAGCCTTTGTAGAGTAACTTATAAAAACAATATCTTTCATAGGAAAGTAGTAAAATATATAGTAGAATAATAGACAAGTCAATAAATAAGTAAACATAAGGAAATGAATAATTACACCATATACCATCGACTTATCTATCCTTTTTATGTAGTTTGTTGAGATTATGGAGAAATATGTAAGAATGTTTCTCAACTTTCTTTCCAGGGACATGAAAGCTCAGCACAACATGGTCCGTGTAGTCCTTGGAGCATCCTTGTACTGCTAACTCTGCGAACAGTCATGAGCAAGAGGAAGTTGCACGGACACTGGGTTAGGATGGGGAAAGAATGGGTGACCCAATCCTCAACACTTTTCTTAAGCTTGCTGTCACATTATCCCTTAAATAATAACTTGCTAAAAAAAATTGGATCTTAACCTTTTAAACAAAGAAGTGAACTGATTCAGTGAGCTTTCAGCTTCCCATCCCAACCAGCAATTTACAGACACTGTGGCCCTTTCCCTCTGTGGCTGTGAAGTGTGTTGATCCTAAGAAAACTGTGCCCAGGTTTGGTAGGGCTTCCTGGTGAGGCAGGTCTCTAGGCTCACAGTTGTTTTCAACTAGTTGCAAGTGATTGCACATCAGAGGCTGGGACCTAGAAGAGGGAGAGTTATGCCTATGCTTTTGAGGGTCAACTGGCAGATTATCAACAATGAGGGCCCTCCTTGACTCAGACAGCGTCAGGTGCACAACCTCGATCATAGTGGTACCCTACTGTGGTAAGTTCAGTGTCTCTCAAAGTTGATGAGAAAAACAACGGACTATAGGCAATCTCTCGATGGTGGAGGGCAGATGATCTAGTAGCCCCATTCCTGTTCCTTTACGTTTCAGTGGCCCCTGAGTTCTCTGCTTTTGTATAAGTCCCACCACCCCTCGTGGTTCCAAGAGGACGGACGTGTGTCTATGGAGGCAGTAGCGACAGTGATAGGATTTTTGCCTTCCAGGTGGTACTGCTGTGTATGGGGCACTGTGAGTTAGAGGCTTACACAATGGCAGTGAAAAACAACAGCGTTTATTTGCAAACTCCCTTATAGAGGAAGGATAGTATAGCCTGGTGTTTTCAAATAAAAAGGAGCACAAACCAAAGCAATGTGGCAAGGCTGCTGCGATGACTCTACTACCCCAGAGCACTTTTAGCGTCCTCTGCCCCTCATTTTCCCATTTCCCTCAGAAGGCCCGTCTCGGGCACACAGTCATGATGTCTAACTGAGGGCCAAGGGATGGAGCCCACTGCATTTGGGAAAAGCTTGTGTACAGCTGTCTCTTTGTCTTTTCCTAAGGGAACAGGCAAAGATTCTTTCCTTCTAACCCAGGACCTCTGATTGGTGGAGTTGGCAAAGCTGCCTATCAGAGCCCCATCTACTTTGTTACGTAGAACTGAGTTACAAAAAAAAACAACTACTGCATCAAAATGATTCTAATTCATAGTGATCCCATAGTATTTCCAAAGCTGTAAGTCTTTACGGAAGCAGAAAAACTCATCTTTTTCCTGCATAGTAGTGGATAGATTTGAACCATTGACTTTGTGGTTAGCAGTCCAACACTTACCCAGCAGCACCACCAGAGCTCTGAGTTTGAAGGTATCATTTTGTGGAATCCTGACCATGAGAGTAATGGGAGGCTGCAGAAGATCTAACCCCCAGAATTATGCCCATTCTCTGGATTACAACCGACTTGGAGATTAATGAGAGAAATATTCCACTTACCCTATAATCAGTGATAAGCCCTGAAAAAAGGAAAAGAAAAAAAACCCTGTTAGACAGACTTGTTAATTAAATGCTTTGGGTAATTAACAACTGCTCTAGGGTAGGTCATTGACTCTTGGTAAGCCCACACACAAAAGACAACATGGCCCAGTCCTGCACCTTCCCATGATCAGACCACGAGTTTTCATGGACTCATTTTCAGAAATAGATTTCCAGGCTTTTCTTCTTAGTCTGTCTTAAAGTGGAAGCGCTACCAAAACCTATAGCATCATAGTTCAGCAAGCTGGTAACATACCAGCCTCCATAGACAGGGGGTGGGTGAGCATGAAGTGTTTTGACCTGGTTCAAAGTTGGGTCTCCTACATGGAAGGCAAGCATTTGACCACTGAGCCACCACTGCCCTCAATCAAATGCTTAATGCCTCTCTTTTTCAAAGTGAATCTCTTATGTACATTTTATAGACTGTCTCTCCTGTGTCTTGGGTAAACTCCCCGGAGGACCGACGCTGGATTTTATTTCGTGTCACTCTCCTTTGTGGCACTTCTCAAGGATACATATTCAATAGAAGTCCTTTGAAAGGATGATGCCCAAAACACAAATTGGAAATGCTAAATTATTAATGGATTCCTGTTAGTCATGCCATCTGCATTACATAAGCATGAGAATCTGAGATTTCTTCTCTGGCCCAGTGTTAAGTTAGCATTCAGATCATGTCAACCATTCATCATTCATCCCTTCATGCATGAGACTCTGAATTTGTAATATGAAAAATGATTAAAATATTAAAAAGAATCAATTTATTTGCAGAAATTTCATCTCTGCATTCTTAGATCCTATTCAGCATTCGGTACAGAGCAGATACTCAGTGATTATCTGTGAAATCACGCATTATCCCAGAAGTAAGGTGAGAATGATGAAGACCAGTCTGACTGTCTACTTAGGGCTAGATTAGACACACTATGAAGTGAGAAACTCCTACCTCCTGGGTAATGGCAATTGACATAGGACTGTAAGCAGGCCCTAACTAGGCTCAGCTATGACTAAGAGGGGTACACACACACACACAAATAACTCACAACAACAACAACAACAGAAAAAAGCTCTGCCAGGAAGAGTTTCCACAGTATGTATTTTTCCCACTAGGCAAGCATCAAGCAACTCTGAGTTAGTACACCAAGTGGCGTCAACTGGGAAAGTTCTCTCTGGTCACAGTGAATTTTCTCATGAAAGCCGTTTGCTCGAGCCTCTTTTTTTGTGATGGATAATTTAAGAAAATGGTGTGTGGCTGTGAAATTTTGTTTCTTGCTTGGGAAAAATGCCACAGAAGCTATTGTGATATTGAACACAGCTTCCAAAGACAGAGCTATGGGAAAAACTGGAGTGTATGAGTGTTTTTGTCATTTCAAAAGGGGTGAAAAGTTGATTGATGATAAACTTCATTTTGGACATCCATCAACTTCCTGAATGGACAAAAATGTCAACCCATAGTGCATTTGGAGTTCATTTCACGAAGTCAGACTGTTAATCATGCTTTCTATTTAGAGGTTCTGAAAAGATAGTGGAACTGTATGCAACAAAAATGGCCAGATTTGTGGCAGATGGGGGACTGGTTTTACCACCACAAGCATGCACCTGCTCACATGGCCATCTTAGTGCACCAGTTTTGAGCAAAAAACAGCATGCTTTTCTTGCGCCATACAATTTACTCACCTGACCTCACTCCGTAAGACTTCTTTTTGTTTCCACAAAAAGAAGAGGGACATGAAAGGACAGCAATTTGACGATAGAGAAGAGGTGAAGAAAAAAACGAGGGAGGTGCTGTCAGCCATCCAAACAGATGATCTTGAAAAATGTTTCCAAGAATGGAATCTCAGATTTGACAAATGTATTAAGTGTAATGGAGAGTACTTTGAAGGGGATAAGGTTGTTTTGTAAAAAGAAAAAAAAATAGACGCATTGCTTTGAATAAAAGCTAATGGTGCCCAGCTATCAAAAGACACAGTATATGGGCTTTTAACGCCTTGAAGATAAACAAGCAGCCAGCTAGCTGAAAGCAACAAAGCCCACATGTAAGAAGCACACCAGCCTGTGTGATCATGAGGTGTCAATGGGATCAGGTATCAGGCATCAGAAGACCCAGGACAAACAATAATATCAATGTGAATGAGGGGGAGTGGAGTGGAGACCCAAGGCCCATCTGTAGACAATTGGACATCCCCTCATAGAAGGGTCATCAGGAAGGGATGAGCCAGCCAGGGTGCAGTATAGCACCAATGAAACACACAACATTCCTCTAGCTCTTTAATGTTTTCCCATCCCCACCCCCACTATCATGACCTCAGTTCTACCTTACAAATCTGGCTAGACCAGAGCATGTACACAGGTGCAGATAAGATCTCTGGACACACGAAATCCAGGACAGATAAACCCCTCAGGAACAATAACAATACTACCCCTCAGGAGTAGCCATACCAGGAGGGTAGGGGGAGAAAGGGGGAATTGATCACAATGATTGATGTGTAACGCCCCCCCCTTCAGGGAGACAAACAACAGAAACATGGGTGAAGGGAGACAGCAGTCGGTGTAAGATACTAAAATAATAATAATTTGTACATTATCAAGGGTGCATGGGGGGAGGGGTAATAATGAGGAGCTGATATCAGGGGCTCAAGTAGAAAGAAAATGTTTTGAAAATGATGATGGCAACATATGTACCAATGTGCTTGACACAATGGATGTATGGATTGAACTAAGCATTGTAAGAGCCCCCAATAAAATGATTTTTTTTTAAAGAAGAAAAAAATTTCCGGTTTTTTTGGGGGGAGGTACCCCCTTACATTACAGTGTTTCCCAAAGTGGGCAATATTGCCTCCTGGAGGTGGTGGTGGTGGTGCTGGCATGGTCCAGGGCAGAGGGCTGCAAAAGGAAATACCTGTGCTTTGTCCTGTATCCCGGGCTATAGACACAAGTTGTTAATTGCCCAAGGGACTCAGAGTAATTTCTTTTTCAGAAAACTAGGCAGTAGGCCAAATAAATTTGGGAAGCTATGATCTAATACGATCCTTCACAGACTGTTGTCATTGAGCACGTTCTGAATCACGGACTGAGCCCATGGACAACAGGATAAAACATTTTCTGGGCTTGTGTCATCTGCACAAGGATCAGTCTGACTGGGCCACTGTTGCAGCCATGGGGGGTTGGAGAGCCTTCCAGCAGCAGAGTGGCTCTTCTCTTGTGAGCTGCAAAGTGTCAGTTGACGAATTTTCAGAAGTATCCCACCAGGCTTTTCTCCCTAGTCTTCGTAGTCAGGAATCTCTGCTAAAACCTGTCCACATGGGTGTCCATGCTGGTATTTTAAAAACTGTTAGCCCAGTTTCCAGCATTCCAGCTACTTTCATGCCACCACAGTATGACAAACTGACAAAACAGGTAGAAGGTTTTCTCAGTTTAAATGATAAGATGTTGGAGATGAGAGTAAAACGAGGTCTTTCAGCCCAACCCACTCATATCGTGAATGACTCTGTAAGCGGGAAGCCCTAAGGGACACAGTGGAGCTCAGCTCCTAGATCAATGCTTTTTCCCCCATACCATACCATGTGGCCTTTCCTGTGGATCACACTGTTCAATCAAAAATAGCTCACACAGGCATCAGCAGTAATCTGATAGTAAATCATAACTAAAAATAGCAACACCAAAAATGTACTTGATATGTAATAGGTGCTCAATTTGTTAAATAATCACATGGTTGTCATGAGCCAAAATGAATGAATGACCCTCCTTTCCAGTGTATATAGCTGCACTGAGATAGCTAATGTTTATTGTGCCAACCTGGCCAATAAACACATGTGGGTTAATGGAAGGGTAGAGAGATAAATGGCTCAGTGACTAGTTCTCGGGTCTCTTGCTTTCTGATGGTCGGACCAGGGTGCAGCTGCCTTAGCCAGTTCCCTGCATCAGCTGGCAAGGCTCACTTCCTGCAAGACATCCTTGAGGAGAAGCTGCCTGGACCTACCCCAATGCAGCCCTGGGTGCTGGAGGAGCTATGTTGAGACCCTTGCCAGTGCTGAGATGCTTACACCTTCACTGACTCGGCTTTCCTCCTATAGTCGGTGTCATTGTATGTGTTTTGTGAGATGGAGGGGGACTTTGTGTATTGGTGTCGGACATATGGGTTAATGTTGGACTTGTGGGTTTGGGCAGCACTGGGTTGGGATGGTTTTCTTGCTGTGCACTTAGCCTTTATATAAAACTGTCTCTTATACATGAGCTTCTGTGGATTTGTTTCTCTAAAGTACCCAGACTAACACATGCACCTTCTAATATGGTATCCACCTGTGGTTATTTAAATTTAACTGACATGAAATACATTTAAAGATTTAATTCTTCAAACACCTTAACCACATTTCAAGTGCACAGTAGACACATACTATAGCACATTTTCTTCCTTGCAGAAAATTCTATTGGACCGTGCAACTAGAGGTTTCAAGTAGAGTTTTGATTAACAACCAAAACAACATTATTAGTGAAAGAAGGTATTTGTTTCTCAGTCCTTTGGTTTCCTTAAGGCCTGGTTGGAGAATTTCGTCCAATTTAGAACCCTTGTACAATCGGTCACTGTTAGCACCAAGAATGATAAACACTTCTTAGCCAATGGTTTCCGGTGGCCATGGTTTCACTTCTATAGCCTGGTCTATGTAATGTTAGGTTTGGCATTGGGCCACTGTGTATGCGAAAAGATCAGAGCTGTGAAAAAGGTATTGGAGAAATGCCTTTAGGGTCTTTCCTACCCAGGAGTGCTCTGCTCCTCAGTCCTTAAAGTCACCATGACTTGTCTACCTCCTCCTATCCCTGGGAAACCCAAAGCCAAATTCGTACCCTTCTAGCAAGTGTGCAGCTCCCTGCTGCAGCCCAAGGAGCAGCCCATGCTCACCCTTCTGTGGGACTCATCAGTCACTACTTAACTGTCTTCTGGTCCATTTCCAGTGACCTTTGGGTGGGTGTCCTGTCACCAGTGCCAACTTAACTGAAGGAATGCAGCATGCATTTTGTATACCAATCCTACCTGTAGCTCCATCTCATTTTCTCTTCTCTCTCCACCATTGCCCAACTTTGTTTGTTCAGTTTTTCTTCCTTTGTGAGTTTTGCATGCATTGATCCAGATTCCTTTTCAGAAAGACATCAGGACAGACCTTATTCCAAAGATGCTTCCTTACATGTAGGAGGCATCTCTGCATCTCTTGCTCCTGCCCCTGCCCTGAGCATCAGGTTCTAGGTGCTCGTGGGAGTAGCAATTCCACAGAGGGAGCCCTTGGCATTAGGGCATGCCACCCTACAGGGAAGAAAAGTGGAGAACCGCTCCTGCTTCTCAACCCTCCAACCATTACTGTCTGTAAATGATCCTCTTCTGCCTTCTAGAAACTTGGAATAGAGCTCTGTGGAAAACACACATGGGAACAATTGACTAAAAGCAAGAGCATAAGCTTACCTGAATCCTGGTGACTGTGTTTCAGATAAAGGGGGTCAAGTTTAAAGGCTCCGGTTAAGCTGGATCTGTTTTTCACCCTGGTTTACAGAACAAATAACAGAGATCAACAGTAGCGCTAAATTGGATGACTGCTCCTTTACCTGTGCATCCTGCTCCCTCTTTTCAACTCATCAGTGAAGAGCTTTCTTCTCTCGAGGCTCTGCTCAAACATGCCTATTGCCATGCTCTCTTGCCTCTCACATCCTGCCCTCGCTTCCACCCCGTTGCTGTGGCATCAATGCCGACTCATGGTGACCTCATGTGTACCGGAGTAGGACCATGCTCCGTGGCATTTTCCATGGCTCATTTTTGAAAGTAAATATGCAGACCTCTTTTGTGAGGTACCTCAGGGTACACTTGACCTCTCACACAACCTCAAGACCCTGGACTCTCTCTAGCAGAGATGTAATCTCCTAGCTCAGAGAACCTGGGAGAAGGTGGGAAAACGTGTTATGCCTGTCTGTATTCTCAGGACCTGACACCATCAGTTAGTACCCACTCCTGGTCATGCCAGTAAATGGGTGCTGACTAAATGGGTTAGCCGCTGAGAAGACAGAGACAGCTAAAGTGGCATGTGCAATAGGCCCGAGTCCAAAGACCTGTCTTCAGAATTTCATCCTTTTACACCTATTTGTTCCACAGGCATTCAAATTGATGGTCTGGGTCACTCAGGCCAAAACCTTCATTTGGACTAGGATGAGAGAAGCCTCAACTTTATGCTAATGGCGACTCTGCTTCATTTGGCATGGTGGACACTAGCTCAAAGCAATTTGATGGTAAATAAAATAACCTACGGACAAACTAGAGAAGAACTTTCCATTTGACAGGAGTTCAGACTTGAAAACAAGCATAATAGGAAAGATGAAATTCAGCGACCATGAAATAAGGATGCCGGGACGAGGACTGCCAAGGAGAAAGAAGACTGAGAAGGAGATGAGATTTACTTCGGACACATAATGGAGGTTTTCTCTTTTCAGAAGGATGAAAACAGTGACAGTAATCAGCAACCCATCTTCTAGTGTATATTCCCTCTGACCTATGGGAGAAGAAAATCTACTGCAGTTAATGTTATGTGTGTATGTCTAGGAATTTCATTGCATTTTAGGAGAATATTTAACAAGAGTGACTAGAGAAATGTCCTTTGGATTTCTCTATCCCAGGAGAGATCTCCGCTTCTTAGTGTCAGAATTAAGGATAAATATATATATATCCTTAATATATATATTAAGGATCCTTAATCTTTAATATATATATATATATGGCATATTTATATGTTGCATGCTTTAAAACCCCATGGAGCCGTTTTTCTCTGCACACACTCTACTTGTACTGTGCAACTAGAGCATATGTCACTTGATGTTATTAATTGCCATTGAGCCGAATCACTATCAACTCAATGGCAACTAATAGCATCAAGTGATATATATACATACATGCATATTCATAACTCTATATGATATATCCTATGTGTATATATATTGATGTATTAGTCTAGGTACTTTGGAGAAACAAATCCACAGTGACTCATGTATAAGAGAGAGTTTTATGTAAAGAAAATGTGCATCACAAAAACATCCCAACCCAGTGCTGCCCAAGCCCACAAGTCCAGCATTAACCCATTAACCCAACACCAGTCCACAAAGTCCTCCACCTCACAAAACAGAGGCAATGATGCCGACTGCAGGAGGAAAGCTGAGTCAGTGAATGAACAAGCATCTCAGCACTAGCAGGGGTCTCCACACGGCTGCTCCAGCACCCAGGGCTGCATCGGGATAGGTCCATGTAGCTTCTCCTTGGGGATGTCTTGTAGGAAGTCAATCTTGCAAGCTGAAGCAGGGAACTGCTAAGGCAGCTGCACCCTGGCGCAACCCTCACAAAGCAAGAGACCCGAGAACTAGAAAGGTGAGGCTTCACCACCCAGTTATCCCTCCGCCTTTCAATTAGCCCCACATGTGATTATTGGCCAGGCTGGCACAATTAACTAACTCAATTGAACATATGACATCTATACATATATGACAGAGCACTAAAAATATAGAGACTGTGTGTCAATGGGCAATGCAAATCGTTAATGTGCTGCTGCTAACTGAAAGGGTGGAAGTTGAAGTCCACTCAGGACACCCAGAGGGGAAGACCCAATAATCCCCAGGTAAGAATCAGCCTCAAAAGCCCTCTGAAGAACGCACAGCAGTTTTCTTCAGATAAAAGCCTTTCTAGAATGACAGTCACCCACTAGCTAAATCCATTAAAGTTGTGAAAATAAACATAATTATACTCTACAATGAGAAATTTAAGTCAACTCTAAACTATTTTTCTTGGGTGTGTGAGCAATCATGAAAGTGGATAGGGAAGGAGGATGTGGAAATAACTTCCTTAAGCAGGTTTTCACCAAATTCTTTAATGTGTGGAATGCATTTGTTTTTGTCTTGCGTCAAAGTTGGTTGGAAAAATGACAATGTAAACTCTGTCATGGAGATTGATGATTATATATAATAATTATGTGGTGAGTAGTCTTTTGATTTTTATACTAAAGTAATATTACATCTTACATTATTTTTACCTAATAGAAAAATTCTGTCCCTTCTAAAGAAATGAATATAGATAAGTTTTCTTTCTCTCTTCCTTCCTTCCTTCCTTCCTCTCTTTTCAGTTCAATGAAAGTGGGACTTTATTGAGGGCCCAGGGCTATTGGGCTCAGGAGAACCCCACCAGCAGGATGCAGGAAGTCAGCAGAGAGGGGTCCTTATTTGACCTTCTTCTTGGGATGCAAGCTGTTGGTGTGACTGTATATATATATATATATAATTTTATTGGGGGATCTTATAACAATCCATATATGAATTCTATCAAGCACATTTGTACATATGTTACCATCATTTTCAAAACATTTTCTTTCTACTAGAGTATCTTTCTACGTGGTATCAGTTCCTCTTTTTTCCTTCCCTCCCCTAACCTTCCACTCTTGTGATCCCTTGATAAATTATAAATTATTATTTTCATATCTTACACCATCCGCTGTCTCCCTTCACCCATGTTTCTGTTCTTTCCCCCTCATCGGGGGAAACAAGTGGGGGCTTATAAATAGTCCCAGGCCTGTCTGTTGACCCTTATGAATATTTTCTGATCAAGTCTGATGAGGTGCCAAGCCCTGCCCTCTGAGTCTGAAGTCCATTTTCTGTATTCCTCAGGGACTTTATTGCTTTGCTCCCCTTGCTGCTCAGTTGCTCTCCCTTTGTGTTTCATCCTGGTGTGTGGTGGTCAAACCAGGCACAATTCCCGCACTGTGTCTCCAGTGTTGTCTTCTGCAGTGCTGTGGGTCAGTGAGGGGATGTCATGTCTCATGGTGGGGTTGGCCCTACAGTCCTCTTTGTGTCTTGGCTACTCCGAGCAGGAGTGCCGTCTTCTGGGCTCGGTGAGCCAGGATGTGGTCCACTCTCTCTCTCTTTCTCTTTCCCTTTTAGTTTGTTCCAGTGTGGTCTGGGCAGGCCCACCACTCTCCCTGGGCTGTATCTTCAATGCTGTCCTCTGTAGTGCAATCTTCTCGGGAGGAGGTCGCCGTAGCTGGGATTGGGGCCAGCCCCATGTGGCTGCACTTATTATAGCAGTTAGGGGGTGGAGGCAGCATATCATTTGAGTCTAATCATCCTGTCACAGTTGCACTTCTAGACCAGCTGGCGCAGGAACAGTTCAATGATGCCACCATGCAGACACAACACCAAGTGCAGGGTGGACTCTTGCTGGATGTTGTAATCAGAGAGTATGGCCATCCTCCATATGTTTACCAGCAAAAATCAGGCACTGCTGGTTGTTGGTAGGGAGGGTGGGGAGCAGATTCCCAATTCCTTCCTTGTCTTGGATTTTAGTTTTGACATTCTCGATGGTGTTGCTGGGCTTAACCTTGAGGGTGATGGTCTTGCCAGTCAGGGTCTTCACACAGACTTGTATCTCTTTGTTTGCAGCTCAGGCTGCACTGTTTGGTAAGTTTTCTAAGAGCGCTAAAATTAGCCTTTTGAAGTTTATTGTAATTACTGGTATGATTTTTTTTTTTAACTCACCAAATAAACAGAGAGAAAAAAAATCTATTGGGCAGTTTTACTCTGACACATATGGAGTGCCATGCGTTGGCACTGACTCCATGGAAACTTCAGAGAGACAGGGACAGGCTGGCAGAGAGATCACGCAGGAGGAGAGAAGGACAGAGATAGAGAAAAACTCTTACTACCCTCAAATGGATTTGGACTCCTAGCAAACCTGTAAGACAAAGTAGAACTGCCCTGGTGGCTTTCCAAGATTATAACTCTTTACAGGGGTAAGAGAGCCTTCTCTTTCTCTGGAGAGAAAGTGGAGATCATAATTCCTTTTCCACTATCAGCAACGCCCTTTGAGTGTGTGTGTGTGTGTGTGTGTGTGTTTATTAAGAAAGTATTATTCTGTGTTAAAACCATACAAAATTGTATAAAGAATAATATATCCTACATATGAGAGGTGAAGCCCCCCCCAAAAAAAATAATGGAAAAAGGCTCCATCAGGCAGAGCTTTCATGGTATGCATTTTTCCCACTAGGCAGGCATCAAGCAACTCACTCTGAGTTAGTGCACCCAGTGGCGTCACCTGGGAAGGTTCTCTATGGTCACAGTAAATCTTTTTGTAAAAGCAGTTTCACTTGAACCTCATTCTTTGTGATAGCCGGTTTAAGAGAACAGTTTATGACTGTTAGATTTTGTTTCCTGACTGATAAAAATGCTGCAGAAACTGTTGTGATGTTGAACTTACAAGGACAGCGCTATGGGCAAAACTCAAATGCATGGGTGGTTTTCTCATTTCAAAAAAGGTGCAATGTTGATTGATGACAAACCTGCTTCTGGATGCCTGTCAACTTCCTGAATAGAAGCAAAAATGTCGACAAAATTTATGCACTTGTGCTCGAAGACCAACGACAGACCATTGAAGAGTTTGGGAAGTTATTTGGACTATTTTGGAGCTCGATTCAGAGAATTGCAACAGAAGATTTGAGAATGATAAGGGCCGCTGCGAAATC